GCGGCACTTTTTGATTTTACTTTGCTGCTGACCAAAGCACAAAATCACTTTTGACGGTTTTGCTTTTTTTTTTCATGTCTCGGTTGGGGCTTTTTTGTGCGTTTGTCTCTTTCCGTTTCTGTTGCTGTTTCGTTTTTTCCTCTACATGAAGCGCGCGCCACGTTTCGTTTTCATTATCCGAAGCGCGTCCAAATTCATTTCAAGTTTTGCCGCCGACGTCGCCAACGTCGAGTTGAGGCGTCTTTAGCTGTCCAACTGTTGGCTTTTGCTCGCCAGTCGCGTTAAGTCCAACTTAAGTCGGCCTAAGCGTTTAAAAGCCTAAACGAATGCAGAGACACATGAGTATCTCTCATATGTGCGTGTGCGTGTGCGTGTGCGTGTGCATGTGCGTGTGTGTGTAAGTTAAGAAACAACAAAATACAAAATATATAATAATCATCAGCATCTGATGAGGGCCAAAGGAGGGCAGCACTTGGAGCATGGAACTCGACGAGAAATGACCAGAGCCACAGTCAGAGCCAGCTGTCAAGTCGGCTTTGTATTTTGTATTTTGCGCTCAAAACTTATACCAACTTGACAGTTGGAAGACAGTAGTATTTATAACGTCGGCGTCGCCCGCAGTGCCCCCCTCTCTGGCCGGCAGCTCGGCAAAAATGAGACAAGACTGACAGCGGCTCAGCGAAAGAGTTAATACTGTGATTAAATGACCAGAAGAGTGCCACTGTCAGACAGATGGTCGATGGTGGGCGGCTTAAATGTTTGACAGCTTGATGCCAACCTCGCGATGTTGCCGAGGGCGGTCACGTTGACAGCAACAACAAAAATTTGCAGTGAACACTTTTTGAGAGCTTGTTGAGCCTACGCTCTGCTAGTTGAAGGCATTGATAGCCAGACAAGTTGGGCTGGGAACGATACCATCAACGTATTTCCATTTAGATACCTCAACCAGGAACATTTGTCTAACAAAATGTATTACAATTGCCAAAGCAATGAAGTAACGTATAACTAGTTGATATCAACAAGAAATGTATCTTTATTGTAGACGCGTATCCATCTTGTTGTAGTTGTTACTTTTTAGTTTTGTGTCGGTTATGGGGAAGTTTCAGGTGACATGCGAGCTAAGTATTATTGACTTTTTAGATTTACACAATTTTAAAATATGCTTTTCACACCTTCGTGAGAGGTACGGAGCTCAAACTAAAAGCTGCCAATTTCAAAATTAAAGCTAAGTGCAATAAAACGTCTGTTAGGTAATAAAATATAAATCACAGAGATTATCATGAATTAGCGAAGCGAGTATTCAAACGATAATCGGGTGATATCAATAAGCTAAGGAGAGATTGCAGCAACTGTAAACCAACTTTTGTGGCTGTTATATAAGTCTACGAAAAAATGTTGATCCCTGCTTTGACATACTTATGACATGTTTCCCTTGAGATGTGCAGTAATAAAAGATGATGTTAAGCTGTTAAAGCCGACCCATGCCATAAATTAGAGGGTTTAGTTTAGGATGGCCGGGTAATTGGTTGAGTATGCCATAAAGTGTATGATAAACTGCCGAGATCTTTAAACAACAATCAAGCAGATTAAATAGAATGCTGCAGTGATAATCGTGTGCCAGCCAACAATCAACGTCAACGAGAGCAAGACAACAAACAGATCTTGCAAATCTCAAGATCACAATCTACCGACCGAGTTATCTAAATGGCAGTTCTGGTCCAAAGCAAACTAACCAAATGTGTATGAGCTACTAAATTTAGACATTTGCCAGTCTCCAGCAGAAAGCAGCTGTCAAGGCAGCACGTTCACGAGACTCACTAGCTCGGCGCAGGTCCGAGACCGCACGGCAATGTTTTCTTCCACAATTCCATGCAGATGTTAAGCTGTTTATTATCTTTGCCCCTTAACTAAGCAGCTGAGCAACTAAGCAGCTAAGTAGCCGCAAAATGTTGATAGTATATTACTTAAATTTACTATAGCGCTTGTCGTGTTTCCAAATGTTTTAAAAGAAAACACATCCAGACTGATGGGAATGAGCTCACTCCACACACAGTTGACACTTGTCAGAGGCTTTTGCAATGCGTCGTCGTCGTTCTCTGTTTATCTTGAAAATACCACAAAAGCTATGCCGAAGCTATTTTTAAAAGATAGCTCTTTACTTAGCGGTGAGTATTACAAATTTGTTGGTGGGTAGCTTACAAGTTGAGCGCCCGAATCGGCAGTCAAACAAATTTTTAATTGCCCACACAAATTATCACTTGAATCTTACACCCGAAAACGGAACCATAAACTTCTATAAAATATAATGGCTTAAGCTGGCAGACGACAGGCGTGCCTTTAGCGGGGCCAGATCTTAAACCCTCCGAGTATGTGGCACATTAGCGCCATAAATTTCAATTTTAATTGCCTTGTATTTAGATTAGGCACTGTTTAATGGACGCATCAATTGTGTCGCCTCTTTATTAAAACCTATTCCATTATATTCTATTCTCAACTGCTGCGCCCACATGAAGCCCCCCAAAAAAAAAAAAATGTTCCAGAGCTGTCTATTCGCCGTTTGCGTGATAAAGTGTCAGGCCAAAGGTACTACGGAGGAAACACTATAGATTATCGAAGAGCGAATGCCCTTCTACGAAAGTAAAAATTAATAATAATAAAGAAAGAATGAATGAACCATCACCAGAATTTAGAAACAATATTACCTAAAACATGTGATAATATTGATAGCAAAGTCAATTTTGCTTTCTAGAGTCATCTTTTGGCGTTACAAAATGAATCGGAGAGCTGTGCTGCCGTACAGATCAGAGGGTATTACAAATCTCGGGACACAAAAAATTATGTCGAAGTGTTTAATAAATAACAAATCACCCAAAAGACCTCAGACACCAACAGCAAGAGCGTACACAGTCAAACAGACCTCAAGTATTTCGTATTTCAGTAATAAACAAAGGTCTGGAATGGCGGCTGAAATTTATGTGACTTGATCTGTTTTCAAGTGGCTTCATGTGCTGAAGTGGGACGTCTTATCAGTGGGTATTCCGGTACAGATTTACAATTAATTGCAAGCAATTGTGAACAGGCAATCTTCAATATGGGATCGGCCATAAAATACGAGTACAGCTAGACGTTGTTTTATTCATGTTCATAATTAATGAAATATCTTTGTGCAAATCATCGGGAAACTACTCAACTTCATTAGCAGGTCGTAAATAATGTCAGAAAAGGCAATGCCAGAAATTTATGTGCCAGGGCACATGGTGAATAATTTAAAATTTAGAAAAAATAAATAAATGAAAAGAAAGTCGAGCACAAAAGATACAAAACAAAATTAAAAATCCAACACAGAAACAATAGAATTTTAACAAGAAATATAATTTATAGCCACTTAAGTCATAAATTTATTTTTAATTTCGGCCAATTCACATTTACAACGAGCCGCGCAAACATCATTGCTCAAGCTCGCTTATACCCATATTTGAATACCCTACATCGCAGGCCTTTCAGTTAACGCATGATGTATGCTAAACGGTGCGCTGGAGTATGTCTCAATTTGGGGAGCTTTTGCTTTTGATTTTCTGTTAACATATAAATTATTTCAAATTAATCAAACCCCAACTTCTGAATCCAACTTCTGACAACCACAATAATTAACTCTTTAAATTAATCAAATACAATTTAATTTTATCAATACATAAATGTACGAATGTATTATATGATTAAATAATTGGCCATCAATAAACAATATAATAATAATATTGATATAGTAATAATCTGTTGCTCTCACATATCGTATAGCCAGAGATATAGCTCGGCAAGGGCAACCAGGCTTCGTAGTTATATTAAGTTAAGTTAAGCCTTTATTTCATGGCTTGAGATAGTTCAGGTTGTTTGGTGTTGGGGCCACAAAAGAAATGAAATACTGAAAGACCAAGATTTACGTCTCTTTTGCTGTTTATTTTTCTTTGCCGCTTTCATGAATCTTCAAGTTTATTATTGTTGCCTGTTTTGTGCTGCTGCTTTTGCTGTTGCTGTTGCCGCTTCTGGTAGCAGCAAATTTAACACCCAGACAGTAGTAAATAAGCGGGTTATAAAAGGCCAACTAATTACAAGTTGCAGCCATCAACATACATATGCTTTAAGAAAATAAAAATTTGAATATGTATGTTCCATATTTATATTAACATTATGTATGCTGTATTTCCATATATACGTAAATATTTCGGAGACCCTTTTCTTTATTGTCTTAATGAATAAAGGCGACGGTCTCTAGATGAGACAAATGTATCTCGTTTGAGCGCAAAACACAAATGTTTAAAACAATAATAAATTATCATGGTTGTTGTTGTTGCTGCTACTGCTGCTGCTGCTGTTGTTGTTGTTGCTGCTGCTGTTGTTGTGGTCTCTTGCCTTTTATCGCTTGATAATCGCTGGTCATTAGTCATTTTGGCCTCAACCTAAAGTATTGTATGTTTTCTATATAGCAATATATCTGAGTTTGTTGTTGTTGTTGTTGTCTTTGCCACGCCAAAAAGAGTAATGTGAGCAACAACAGTGGCAGCTGCTGCTTCTGCTGCTGCGTTGCTGCTTGTTATGTCTGCCTCTTCATTTGGTCAGCAGCAGCAGCAACAACAACAGCAACAACAACAACGAAATCAGCCGCGGCTACGTTTAATAAATCGTGTACTGTCGCCTTTTATTGTTGCGGCGATGTTTCAAATTTTATTTATTTATCTGCTGCTGCTGAATTGGCTTAATAATGTGGCCAACAACAGGCAGCGGACATAGCCAGCAGCAGCAGCAGCCGCGGCAGCAGCAGCAGCAGCAGCAGCAGCAGGTCAAGCACATATTTAGCAACTTCTGGCGATATAACACTTAACAGACGTCCTCAGCTATCGGCTATCTTGACAGTGCATGAAATATTTATGCTCCTTAGATTATTTGGGGTATATTAGTAGGCAGAAACAAGTAAGTATTACACATCAGCTGCGCATTTACAGCTAACAAAATTGTGTTCAAAATTGTACTGTATTTACAAAGTTAAAAATTTTATAAGCGGCTTAAGCTGTGTTTATCTTGCTCTCCTTTTTGTAGGCACGCTACATCATCCTGCGATATTCTTTCCTCAATTTCTTTAAGCTGTAGTTTGAGGTTACAGTCAAGAAGTGTTCTTGCGACTGAATTAATCTCAGTGGGCAGAGTATTGCGCAGTCGGATGGATGCGATTGCTTCGCTTGAACTTGTTTTTGTAAGTTTGTGTCCTTCTTGATACTCAAACAACGCCTTGTTCAGATTAATCTCTTACTCTTATTCCATTTACCAATTTTATTTTGATCTATCGCAGTTGTTTTTTTTTCATTCGGATTTGAGTAGATTTGGGTAGATTTACGGGTAGATTTAAAACATATCTTTTAAAAATATTGAACATTAACCCGGCGTTTTTATTATTTATTGACTGTAATGCAAAATAGGTAATAGTGCTCTAGTCAGGCCCCTTGCCTAGCTGCCATCACGAAAACTCTACCTACATTATTTTCGTTAATTGTTTCGGTGTTTATTGTTCGATCTTTACAAATATGGCCCCTAAATGCTAGTTAATAATTGTTGTATTTAATTATTTGGAGAACGGTGCTCTGTGAAATATTCTAGATCTGTATATACTAAACGAAAGTCTATATCAAGCTCAAGCTCTCACGGTTTCTGAGCTCATAAGAAGCAAACAAATATATACATATGACGGCGTCGGAGATATTTTCTTTCTTTTGATTGATAAATACATTTGCACAAAACTAACCCAAGATTTTCAACGGGCACGGGGTATACTTCAAATGGAAAAGTAGCTGTAAAGCTAAATATATGACAACTTAAAAACAATTTCATAGCTTGTTGAGCCTGATGACAGTTTGCGTTGACCTGATTTACACAAGCTTCAAGAATGGCCAAGCCATTTAATACAAAGTGGGCTTATGGAATCTAAAGCCCTAAAGGAACTGTATTAGCCCGTGAACCATATAATTTATGATGGCCAAATGTGTGGACAGGCAGACAAAGCAAAACAATTTAACCACTGACCAGCGATACGTCCACCCGTTCAGATACTTATATGTAGCTATCAATAATATATTAGAGCCAACGAAACGCGCTCCCAAAAAGTCAGCGGTCGCTTTGAAGTGTCAACATGAGCCGTCAACTGAGCCGACAACTTGGCCAACGTATTTTTCGCTCCATTGTGCAGACCGTCGGGCCATTTCACGCTGGCCAGGTGGGCAGGTGGAAGGGTGGGAGGGAGGGTGCCATAATAATAATCACAGCAGCTGAAGTATTTATGTCGCAGCTACAACTGAAGGTCTGGCAAGGCCTTAAATTTTCCCGCGTGTGTTTATGTATACAGCATTTATATTGCGCATTGCATATCGTATTTTATTTCTTGTTTCCTTGCCGTCAATTTTATGCGATTACGTTACGTGACATTAGGTGCAGTCGCCTAATCGCCAGAATTATGAGCGTGACACATTGTTCAGATATTGCAAAAGAGATGCGCAAGAAGAGCAGCCCATATTTTCTAGGCACCACCCATTAAATTTGAGTCAACTCTGGCAGCGTTCGGCTGTATGTATATATAGAAAAAATGTAAATAAATGCCTACCAAGTGCCTGTTGACAGTCGGCGCTGTTGTCGTGTCAGCTACAAATGTCGTTTTAAGAACTGAAGGAAAAACTCAGAAATTAATATTAACAACAACATAAAACATCGAACGAGAACGAAAACGAAAATGAAAACGAGCACGAGAGACACCGCGACCGCCCATATAGTGTCAGATACTGGGCCGCGAGTGGAGTGGAGCCAAAGGGAAAGTGTCAAACGCAACATTATAAAAATGACACGAGGAAGCCATAAATATTAAAACAAAACAGGCAGCAACAGCAACAATGTCACAACATCAGCTACGCTGGCAAGAAACACAGCGGGGGTGTCTTGCGACCAGAGAAAAATTACGCTGAAAAATCATCAAGAAGCTGACAGCGGGCAACAAGCACTTGAGCAACTAAAAGATACAAATGTATCCGCTGCTCGCTACTCGCTACTCGATTAGCTGCCTCGCTCACTGAACGCCCCTGGATGTCACATCTATGTATGTCGACCCACGCATGATTGACGCTCCTCCAGGAGGGCAGACACGACAATTTTAATGACTTTGCTGTAATTTATAACAAAGCTGTTAATTAGCTGCAACGACTACGCTGACATCACTCATCATCTGGCTCTATAATTAATGCTAACATGTCTATGGATCATAAAGGGGCAGCTGCTGCTGCAAGCAAGCAGATCCAGCGAAGCCAAATGCTCATTGGCTACAGTTTTGGAAAAGGTTTTTAATAGATATTGATTTTATGGCTCACCAAATCCATTTTCCGCAACATCACACTCAGTATACAGCTATGGGGAGAGCATTTGTTGGCTCTGCTTAGTGTTTTATGCTCCACTGTTGATAAGAGTATTGTAATTTTCCACTAATTGTAATGCGTTAGAGTATCTCGAAAACAAGTATTTGAAAGATTGGGAACTATATCGACAAGGCCCTTAAGCTTGACGAATGCAAACCATTTTGCTGGATATGTTGTAATATTTATTGAAGTTTGTGTTAAAAGCAGAAAATAATATTTTGTAAGCTTTTGAATATAGAAGTGTGTCTTGTGTGAATGTAAATATATGTTTATATATATACATATTTTTATTTACACATATATTAATAATCCCAACCGCATGCTAGAGTTAGGAGTGTGAAGCTTCCCTTTACAAAACATGCATATATTATACATATATTTCCATTCTCATAAAATTGTATGTATGTGCGGGAAGTCAACATTTTGTGAAAAAAAAAGACCTTTAGCTTGTACATTTTCTAGTAACCCGATGTTGATCAGAAGTACTAAGATCACATACTGACGTGCGTGAATGCTATATAATATTGTCGTCCGTTCCCGTTGGTGTCAAAATTTCGAACACCCTCTGCAGGGAATAAAAACAGCACACTTTTAATTATTTTTTAAATTGCCAAAGAGAGCTTATCACTTACATAAGGAGGAATGTTAACCCGAAGAGTCACTCGCTAATCTAAAACGACACCTCATAAATTAGCGGCAGTCCGCGAGTAAATCATCAGATCTTAAATGTCAACTTGTCGCTGTGGCTCTATATCAATTTAGCTGAAGCAAAATCACAGCACCACGTTGTCAACAATCAAGTTTTATACAATCGTCGCCACGATTTATTTGATCGCAATAGAGCGAATCGAATTCTCGATTAAACACACTGGCTACTCTTCTGATTAGAATAGCCTCCTGCTAAAACGCATCAAATGTATTTTACAACAGTTTACGAAATGTCTCACAATTTTTGAAAAGTGTATTAGCATACCCTGGTATATTATTACATTGGTAATGTCTTTGTTAGGGCATTCGAAATTCGGTCAGCATGTGGTGTAAAGTTTCAAAATATTACTTGTTTGTTGCGATTATAAATTATGGTCAGCTCTTCGCGTGGTTTAATCATAACATCTATATGCTAGCGAGCTAATAAAATGATTTTTATAGCCATATAGCCATAACTTAAAAGCATATATGACTTGTTAGTATGGAGCTGCAATAAATATTGTCCCGCACGCCCAGACATAAAGTTAAGAAAATCTTTTCAAATCACAACCATCGATTATCGTTAATTTCACGGTGCCCATAAAGCACTACGGGAATTTCAATTTCTATTAGATATAGTTGAGTCACAAGACTATTTAAAATCGCCCATAAATTGAGTCACATTTTCGGCAATTTTGTTCCACTCAATTTTGATTACTGCGTACTCTAATAAATCGAAGAATTGCTTCCTCTAGACATTGAAAGTGTCTTTTAAATAATAAACATTTAAATTCCTGCTGGGCAAAGTTGATAATATTTATTATGTATGCATTAAATAAAATGTAAAATAAATTTCATAAAGTAAAATAATCGACTTAACTTGGGCTCGTCCGGGATTTGAACCCGGGACCTCCCGCACCCTAAGCGGAAATCATACCCCTAGACCAACGAGCCAGTTGAGCAGACACGACTAAGCAAAGCACAAGACTAGCGCATCGAGAGATCGCAAGACAAGAAAAGAAAACGAAAACGAATCCAAAAGAAGTGCAAGAGAGGCCCAAGTTGGAGCGGCAACGTCTCAGCGAGCGAGGCGAGACCCGCTCTCCTCTCCCACTGGACAGACAATAACAAAGCAAAGCGAGTCTATTTATAACAACAAGTTGCCATGTAGTTTGTCTAGTGGTTGCTGCTGTTGTCGCTCGCGAGTGTTGACAACAAAACAAATTGTTTAACATGGACAACACAGCAATACAAAAGAAATATGATGCATGTAAATAAATTCAATTTGGAACACAAAATAAAAATTGAAGACATGGCAATCAAGCGCCAGACAAAAAAAAAAAACATGTGCCAGCAATAAAAACACGATCACAGATCTTTCAACAGAAATTGGACAATCAAAAAAATTGTTATTGTTAATCAGAACAAGAAAAAACGAATCGACCAAACGGATTCGTGTAGTCGAATATGACATGCTCTTTTTGGCCCAAGCGTTTAATATGCACTTGGGTTACTTTTGGAGTTCCGATTTTCAAATATTCGATATAACTTGCAGGATAGCGAAATTATTCTCAGCATGAAACATTTTACAAAGGCATTTTACAAAGGCATTTTATACTTTTATCTCCAGCGGTTTGGGATATTCGAAACTATGTGAAATATATCTGAAGAAATTAATTACGACAGCCTCTTTTAATTAGAAACTGAATGAACATGTATGAATGTGGACGTGAGTAGAGAGTGTTTGAAACTCTGGGCGAGCAAGTCCCTAATTATTACATAGGGGTTGGGCTCTGGGTTCGCAACTAATCGAAAAAAATGTGTAGAAACAATTGAACAAATCACAGTCGCTGAACGTTTGACAGCTGATGGCGATAATTTTAAATCAAATCAATTGAATATTGTCACAATTAATTTGCTTAAAAGATATGTACGCCCGATTGTGGCGCTCGTGTCATATTGTATGGGAATAATAATTGTCAGCGCTCTGTAACTAAGTGGGATTTTCTGAGCGCAGCTCGTTGAATGTCAATTGATTTAATGTATTCTTTTATTGATTTTTAATTTCAGCTTGGGTGTTTTATAGCTGTCGCCGAGAGTTTGTTAACGCTTGCGCAAATGACGCGCCCACCTCGGCCCCTCTGCACGTCCTCCCCGGCCCCTGGTCTCGCTCATGAATTTCAAATTTTGTGGGCTAAAATCGAAACGCCGCACACAATTTATGCATCTGGCATACGAAATTCGGAATGCAGCATCGACTTCTGATTGCGATTGGACTTTTAAATGAAAGCCGATCGTTTTCAAGTCAAGCCGTTTTTTAGAATAATAACTACAAAAAAGATATAGTAAGTACAGATCAGTTCATCAGAATGGAAACACGTTAATTTGGAATAATTTTACAGAAAGTGGCGACTAAATACCCTTGAAGACATATAATATACATATATTAATGTTGAACAAAATAAATGGTTTTCATATTTTTACCAGGAAAGCTCCCACCCTGAATTCATTTAAAATTAGTACAAAATGGATCAAAATGGGTCAAAAAAATACATCTCCCACACCCTTCAAGTATACAAATTGTTGGACAATATCATTTGAGTCCGTCTATCCATAAATATGAATGCGAGTATCTGAGAAGCAAAAAAAGCAAGGATCCATTGAACTTAGATCTTTCTAGTGCTCGCGCAACTTTGTATAAAATAGTCAATAACACGCCCCGTTTCTAAGCAATCGATAAAAACCGATATTAAAATCCTGTTAAGTTTTAAAATTTAGATTCACCAAATGTGAACTGCAACTTTTAGAAAAGTATATATGGATCAAGTTATTTACTGCTGAAAATTTCATCAAGATCGTTTAAGAAACGCAGAAAGCAAGTGTTTGCGGCAGCTAGCGGAAATTTCAACAATTTCCATATACATATAAAAATATATATTCTTATATATAACGAACTGAAAATGTGAAAATGCTGCTAGAATAAATCCCTGCTATGGTTGGTGAGGCTGTGGCAAGTAGTTAAGTCGGTTGATGGTTGGTTGTGAGTTCCACTCCACGCGAAGGAACCTAAATTGTTTTTTTAATTCATTTTCATTCATACTAAAGCAAATGAAATGCACATTCTTCAATGCTTTAAGCTGACAAGTATTTGTTCCTTTGTTTTTTACTTGTATGACAGAAGTGGACTCGCCTAACAAGGAACTGAGCCGCAATGTATAATATAAATGAGAAAAAATTGTGTTATGTGTTAGAAAGCTAGCTTTTAAGAGCATTCATAAGCTAAATAGGCATGACTATGTGGATTGCAATCAAGTACACAAATTATTGTAGGAATGCTAAGGCACCTATAGGAGCTTAACTAAAGGTCTACTATATATACATTTGCCTCCCACCTTGAGGTTCTATCGTATCCCACTTGTATTCGTACTCTAGTTCATCTCTTACCCGATTTGAGCAATATCTTAGAGGCTCCAATCCGACTAGTTTAACCGCTTTAGTTTGCAACGTTACATGAGAGACATTTTCATAGGTTTTTTGCTCTTACCTTTATAATAATTTCTCATAATAAATAAGTAAAGCGCGAATCCTGTCTAACGCATCCATCTAACACGAGTATGTCACAATTTCAGCTAGGTATTCCGTGGATGACCTCCCTCAAAGAGTGGATGTTTAACTCGCCCCTAAATAAATAAAAAGGCATATGTAATGCATAATTGTCAATGGTTTGACAAGAACTTAAATTATTGCCCAATAAGCGGGCAGCTTTTAAATAAAAATGATAATGTTGATAGCAAAAACAAGTATTTCCAAAAGATACAAAATCTGTTGTTTTTTTAAACAACTCTGATATAAAATAAGCTAGCACGAGTATGGCGGTATTTAATATAATTTGCTAATCTCAATTAGTTTTACCAAAATACCAAAATACTCAAATGATCGGTTCTACTCCTAAATTATCGTTAAGTGATGAAATTGCAATGCCCTTCTTTAAGATATTTTGTATATAGATAATTGGCAACAATTTAAAACGTGATCGAATCGTTCTTTCATATATATATATATAGATATATATACAAAATATGACTTGTATCTTGTCTAATAGGTTCCCGAAAATCCAAAAAAAGCTGCACGAACATTGATGAGAATAAATGAACACAATATAAGACAGCGACTTGATGGATTGTCTGTCTGTGTTGATGTCCAGGTCAACATCGTTTGTGGCAAATCATCAAACTTTGAGCCTGCAGAGTGGGGAACAAATTAAATAATGAAGACAAATGGATTTTGTATTTTTATAAAATGTTTTTTTTTTTTTTTTTTTTTTGTATATTTGTTGTCCATATGAATTGTTTGCGTGTACTTATTTATTTACTGCGCACTTTTAAATATATTGTTGCTGCCTTTGTAGCTTGCATATGTTGGGGCTGTGTGGCATACATTGAGAAGTAATCGCGAGTTTTTAATTTATATGCATTGAGTTGATACACAGTAAATAATTATACATGAAATCTTCTTTTTGTATATTTTTTTAAAATTTTTTTTTTGTTTGTTTTTTTTTTTTGTTTTTTGCTTTGTTCTTTGTTTTTTGTTATTACAGTTTTATTATACGCAGTAGTTTACATATGTGTAGGTGACTTAAAACATTATTGAATTTGTAATCATATTATTATCCGTACATGTATGTATATAATAATTAAGAACTAAGTTTAGCCTAGACAAATTAAAATTAAACAAAGCTTAAACATCAGTTAAATGTGTATACATAAGTAAACAAAACCTGATAATTATACGATTTGCATAAATGTATTTATATATATATGTAGGTCGCGGGAGAAATTGGAAGTCATAGAAAAACTTTGGTTGAACTTTGAGAACAAACGCGTCTTAAAAATTAATGTTAAAAAACAATGTCGCTATGTTTGATTCAAATTGAAATCGAAATCCATGTTAATGTAATGCAAACAAAAACTGAGCAAATTCTTCTTTTTTTTATAACTGTAACTACGACTTGAAATATTTTAATGGATATTATTATTTTGCTTTTGGATTCTCTGTTGTAGTATCTGTGGTTATCTGAAACTTAAACGTAACTAGCGCTCGACAAATCTACAGTTTAGTATCACAGAACAGCGAACGCCGCTGACAGCGTTACACTAATAATCTTTTTCTTCTTGTTTCTTTTTCTTTTTTTTTGTTTTTGAAATCATTTCAATATTTATATTATAAAACAGAGCTGTTGTAACTTGTTGTTGCTGTGTTTGCAACACTATCAATCTGTCTATGTTTTTCGATCGTTGCACAACACTTAACCGCCTTGCTTCCTACTTTATTTGGTATCCAAGACGTGCCGCTTACTGGTGCGCCGCGCCCATGCGCTGTCCGTACATGGCATACGGTGAGTAGTAGGGGCCCAGGGCAGCAGCGGCAGCCGCCGCCGCCGGATTGAAGGCGCCTGCGGCGCCAAACGGGGAAGGGGCGCCCGCCATGGCGCCCGGCGGCTTGCCATACGGATGGTAGCGCGCCGCGGCGGCAGCTGCGGACATGGGACTCAGGGGCGGCGTGGGGTAGCCGGCGCGCAGGGCCGATGGCGGAAAGAGCGTGCCGAGCAGCGACTGAGCCTGTGACTGGGCCAGGGCTGCGGCGGCGGCAGCCGGATCCGACAGGTTGCCCGTGTGGGTGCGCAGATGGGTGAAGAGTTCGTCGGAGGTCTGGAAGCGCTTGCCACAGTAGGCATCGCCCACCACCCAGCTGCAGACGTAGGGTGCAGAGCGAGCGGCGGCTGCATTGGCGGCCGCAGCTGCTGCCGCCTGCGAGTAGGGATGAGCTGGCGGCAGGCCGGCGCTGGCCATGGCCATGCCGTACTTCTGGTGCTCGCACTGCGTGCAGCCGGCGGGACAGGGTGCGCCCATCAGCATCTGTTGCGTGTGTGCGGAGTAGGGGCAGCCGGGGCAGTACGGATCCTTGCAGACGGGCACAATGGCCTCGCCACCGGCTGGTGTCTTGATGCGCTGATAGGTTATGTACGGATTGGGCTGTCCGGCGGGGCCAGCTCCGGCCCCAGGATAGCCGCTGCTTGCCGCTGCGGCCAGCATGGCCGCATGATGATGCGAGAAGCCACCGGCAAACGGCGGACGAAATGCTGGATTCGCGTGCTGCTCCATGCCGGGCGGACAGCACAGCGCCGACAGCGGATTCAGTCCATACGGGCCGGCTGCCTTGTAAGCCGCCGCCGCGGCGGCCGCTGCAGCTGCCATGCTGCTCATCTCCTTGGGATGCTGTGCTGTGCCGTTTGCATTGTTCAGCACCTCCATGCCGGAGCGCACAATGGGACTAGCGCCGCGCTGGGAGGAGCCGGCGGGCGAGACTGTCTTGCGGCTGCCGTCATGTGGCGTTGTGGGCATGCCCTCCGGCTTTGACTGTGCCGCATCGGTGGGCGTGGCGTTTGACTTGTTGCGCGAGGGCACACGCTCCTGCGTGGAGCTCTTGGAGCTGGGCCGGGTCGGCTCATCGCTGGCCAGGCTGGCGCTGCTCTTGAAGCTGTTCTGATTCTGCTGGCTCAGCACGTTCGTCTCGTACGGCTTGAAGGCCAGCTTCATCTCGCTGCCAATGGTTGTGGTTATGGGCGTGCTGGACTTGGGCGACTTGGCCTGGCTGGGCGACTTGGCCGCTGAGATTTCCGCGCTGCTCGACGAGCTGGACGAGGTCGAAGACGAGGAGCACGTGCCGGACTTTTTGTTCTTATCCACGGCCAGCAGCGGCTTGACGGCCGATGAATCAGCGCCAATCTGTGAGCATGTCTGGGCCAGTAATGCGAGTGGACTCTTTTTGGCATCCATCTGTTAAATGACGAGTGGAAGCGTCGTAAATTTGCGATTAGTTTTCTATAATAATCATTTTTCCAATTTAAACAAAACTATCCTTTCCTATGATTCATCAAAAAAACACCATGCAAATTTTCCTCTTCTGCTTACCAATAAACATTTTAAATAATAATTTTGTATTCACACGTAGTTTAAGTCCATTTCTTAAATGAAATGTTTATGGTTCATTCGCCGAAAATTGCATTTCCTCAAATTATCTTAATGTCTTTTTAATTTAAGCTCTTTTGCATATAAAAAACCAAAAAAACAATTTTAGGCAGCAATGCAAACTTTTGGTGTCTGAATTTTTACCTATTCTGTATTTTTATGTTTTTTTCTTTTTTTTGTGTTTGGTAGATTTTCAATTTTTTTCTTTCTTTTTTTTTGAAGGCTGTTGTGCCATTTTTAAGTTTATTTTTCCATTTTTTTTTTTTGGTACTAACCGTTGTGGGCAATGGTGCCAGGTAATCCGGCTGCAAGTACTGGTTATTGCCGATGGTAACAACACCACCGCCACCTTCCAAGACAACCATTTTGGAGCTGCTTTGGCTTTTGTTTGTCGGGTAATCCACAGAAAATGCGACGGGTTATGCCCGAGCAGCTATACAAGAAATTGCAGCTGCTGGCTGTTGTTGTTGTTGTGTAGAGTAATCCAAAGGGGAATGCGACGGCAAAATTTGATTTGAAAATATTTGTGGGTTTTTTTTTTATGAATATTTATTAATAAAATGCACACTTTGAATTTCTTATTTATTTAAGAAATTGCTTGCGTTCACTGATTTGACAAATGGCCAACTGGCGTATGTTTCACTTTTGTTTTGGCTGTTCAAGCACTTTACACTCGACGTTGTCGCTGGCGAACGTTCTGACAGATACACAAATGCTGTTGTATGCGGTTGGTTGAATGTAGAGTTTACTTTTTGCTTGCTATTTCAGTTTTTCCGAACACGTCTGAACGCATCGAAGGCTAAACTCGAACTGAATTGAACAGAAGTGGCATTCGGAGACTTGCGATAGAGTGAAGCGAAATCACGCTCAGCTGTGTGCGCTCACCAGAGAGTCGTGCCGCTGGCTCTCTTGCGCTCAAAACCGGTAGCAGCGCTGCACACCGTTTCAGAGTGTTGGAAAAAAGAGAGAGGCATGTGTTGTGCGAGTGAGCTGCACTGTGTGTAATTTTCAAATATGGCGTACTTTTTGTCCAATCAAATCGCATGCGCCATGCAATGGAAGCCGTAAAGTGACCAAGCAGGTTTTTTTTTTTTTCAGTCAATCAGTCAGTCAGTCAGCTGCATGGACATTTGTGGCTCAGTGCCTCTTTGTAACACGGCAACACTCAATGCGAGAGCAACAGTTGAGCGTGAGAGCAGTGCTCTTTTTTCTTTGCCTGATTGGCGCTGTTCGCGGAAGTTTGCCTTTGACGCGCACATTAATTTTATCTTCACACATATGTCACGCGCATCTGGAGCTCACACTCAATCATGCTCTCCCACTCCAACCACGCTCTCGCTCTCCCTCTCAGTCGGCTGTCAACACCAGGCCATTCTACTACGCTCAGTCGCATTTTCTTCGCTGAGATTTGTTTCTCAGTCACTCAACACTTAACCACTCTTCTTTTTATGCCATCGCCTCGGCTCGCTCGTTTTAATGTCATATAAAAATTAATTTGTTTGCCGCTCTCCATCGCTCTTCCACAACATCCACTGCGACTGGCTCTTCTGCCCCTGCCCCAACGCCCGTGAACCGACAATAACTCTGACTCGGGCATTGTTTAGCGTTTTTCGATTAACTTCTGGGCTCTGTTCTGCGGTTTGTTTTCCACAAGAGCTTCTGTTTGTTGTTTAAGTGGAAATCGTTGTTTTGTCGTTGTGTCAAAGTTGTTCCAAACAATTTTTCACATGTTTTGTCCTCCTGTAATCGTATCATATACACATATGTATGTGTGCCTGTGTATGCCTTAATTAAGCCTCGCCATAAGAGCACGCCAGTTGCAAGGCGAGAGAGTTTTCTGTTCTGCATGTGCTGGCGTTGCCATATGATGCACTTTAGACTTTTTTAATAGTTTAATGGTTGCTTGAGTTCATTCGATTTTAATAATACAGCTCACTGAGTGCCTGCTGATGACTTTATTCATGCAGATCAAGCTCTAAATTAAATTTTTATTCAGCGCCTGTGAATTCAACCACAAACCAACCATTTGCATAAAAAATAGCTGACTCTCATTCTGCAGCAAACCACAAAATAATACAAAAAATAACAATTTCTTTGCACAACGAGTATTCGGGGCAGTCGGATGGCAACATCTCACCTTAAAGCAGGTACCTATTATCCTAACTATCAGCTGGAAATTGAGTTCCTTCAAGCTGCGTTGATAAAACCACAAATTAGTTTTTGTATGCATTTAATTTCTGATAAAATCACGTATACCTCGCATATTATGAACAAAGCTCTTACTTATACATAAAATCGGACTACATTATAAATTGAATTGCTTTCAAATTCTGAACTATGTTTGAGTAATATCACAATTATATTGCTCGAGCTCATTGGAGCTAAAACAATCCTGTCCTTATACCTTTACTTGCTAAACGAGCTGTTCATATTAAAATCTCATTAGTATATCATTATGGACAACATCTGCAAGGGTATTTAATCTGCGATATTCAAATGAAAGATATGTGTTAATATGCGAGATAAACATTTAAGCCTTTAGCTTAGAGCTGATTATTGGTATTTACGTAATGCAGATTCCTGGCTATTGGAACTGGAACTGGGACTGGGACTGGGATAAGCCAAAACAAGGGGCGGCCTGCAGGTAGGCTCTAGGCTCTAGGCTCTAGGCACTTGGCCAAGGCCAGGCCAAGCAGGGCCGGGCCGGATAACCTTCGCAGCAATTGATGGATTTATTAGGTAAAAGCGTGTTACCTCACGATACGGCTTAAACGTAATTTGCGGCTTTTGGGCCGGCCATCAAGGCGGACAAGGTGCTGGCAATTGCCAGTTTTCAGTTTGGCTCATTTGCGTTAAATGCCAAAATAAATATGCATTGTGCTCGGCACATAAGTAAGTACACACATAGGTATGTCGGAGCGAGTACGTACCAGCGTAAGTAATTCATATTTTTACGGCTACTTTGTCAGCGTCATAAATTTTCCGGGGCATGTGAATTATTTACTAGCAATGCGAACGCAAACGGCAAACGGCAAACGAGATGCTTCTGCCCGCAGATGGTTTGCGCGGAGGGGGCGGACGGGCGGACGGGCGGACGGGCGGATGGGGCTGGCATATAAATAACACAAAATATTATAAATTACACGCAGGGATGTAAAAACGCTGAGCAGAAGCGAAAAATTTGTAGCCGCGAAAACATTTATGTATATACATACATATATATGAAGAGAATATAAAAATGAGGCAGCCGCAGCAGCAGAGCACATAAAATTAACCACATATTTCTTCATTTTTATGGCATTTATTATCACAGAAATGTTTGTGTGATAAAAGCGAAGCAGCGCAAAAGGCGAACGATGAACGATGGGCAACGGAGATGGCAATGGCGCAAAAGGCAGTCATAAAAATGCAGCCATTTACCTTTTGATTTATGCACAACAACAACAACAGCAAGACCAAGGCGGGAAATGGGGGAGGTGGGGTTGCGGGCACGCATGTTGCCAACACCATCAAGAATAACAACTGCAAAACACGCTGCGCAAAATAATGCAATAAATTTGACATTATCTCCGGTTATATGAAGGTATACCCATCAAAAACTACGACCCAATACTTGTCAAGTGCGAGTAGTTTGGGGGCAGCAGCTCCTCTTTCTCTCTCTCTCCTGTCCTCTCTCCAAAAGGCATGCTGCAGCAGCTGCTGTGGCCAACTTGGTTAAGTGAACTACCAAGGTTAGTCGAAGCAAATAATCCGCTGATTCATAAAAAAGTACTTTCCGATTAGATCATTCATAGTACGATTATTGCATTCGTTTGATGTTGCCAACAATACAATAACTCACTTGTGGAGAGCCCAAAATCCCAGCCATTTAAAAAATTGAAAAACAAACTGCAATAAATTCAGCAGAGCGCGCATATTCGACTCGACTATGCACACACACATACGCACACCATCAATAACTCACATAAAAAATGTTCTCAAAAAGGGATACACATCCGGCATGCCCCCCGGGGCCGCCGGACCGAGAAGGGAGGGAAGCAGAGCTACCGAAAGACCGACTGTCGATAATTTATCGACAACAATTTATCTCGTAATAGTACGGACCGAAGAAAAATTGCCCCTGGCATTGGTGACATTGAAATTTTACGGTAATGTACGAAAAGGTTCTTTGGAATATGATTCGAAAATAACAAAAAGCGGGCACACTTTTCTATTCGCATTGTCATCCCTGTTCTCGATCCCCTGGAAATGCCAAATCTGGGTAGATTAATAAAGCAAATTAATGGATAAATTGTTGCTGCCAATGAACAAAAAACAATGCAATTTGTGGGTTACAAACAAATGTGACACGTGCACGAATCGCATAGACAAATTGACTATAAACATTTTATTGCCAATGGTATTATGGGGTATTAATTGATGGCAAAATAACGCAGCATGCGAAAGAAAAAGATTTTAGCGCCCAGCCAAAATCTTAATTATCTTTCTTTTCAACATGGATGACCCCTAGAACTTTACGCACAGAAAATAACCAATATTATTTTATAACTCGTACGGGCTTAACTCGTGCTTGCTTCTACATACACATAAATAGTCAAATAGCAAGTTTATTTAGTGTCCATTGAATTAGAATTACAATTAAAATTATAGAGAAATATATGTGTGATATATATGAGAGCTTCAATTTTAAGTTTCTAGCTCTTATAGTTCCAGAGATCGATCGATCGAAGGACCTTCGTTAATATTTAAGTCTTTCTTAAGGCAATCTTACAAACGGACCGACGAACGAACGGAAAAAGGACGGATGCTGATCAAGATATATATATATATATATATATATATATATATATATGTATGTATATTCATTATGAGGTCAGAGATGCTTCCTTCTGACCGTCACATGGATTTGCACAACCTGCAATACCCTATTTGACCCATTTTCAATGGTTACAGGGTGTATGGAACTGCCCAAAGCAAGAGCACATTTCAGCAACATATTACAAAAAGGATCCATCGAAATACTAGATATTATTTATTAACTGTTCAGCATTAAAGCCTGCCCATGAGCACGCATTAGGCTTTAAGGAAAGCCTGAGCACTGGAGCATTCACGGAGCTACAATAATTTTATGAATGACAACAAAATCAAAATAATGAAACTGCATTTCGAGTTTCAAATTAAAATCTGTAGAAACAACAAAGTCCTGTAGCGACAATTGCATATTCTTTTGTCCAAGAATCGCATTCAGCTGCGCAAATATTTATGGGCAAACATAAAAATGTTTACGACCTTCAAAATTTAACAACCGAAGCAGGTCCTCGGCGCAAAGGCAACCTCTGCGTCAACTCGGACTTGCAATACTGGCGCTTCCTACGCACACCGACTACATCAGTCATCCGTAAGGATCTCCCATGGCGATGCCTGTGTGAGTTGTGTCGGTAAAGAGCACATAAATTATGCTCTATACATCATGAATATCTATCGATGCTAGGCGTAGCCTTGCCCTGCTTGGGCCTAACAATTTTATGGCCCGGAATCCGGATAGTCGCATGTTTATTGATTTGCTTGACGGCGTCGCTAATTCTTGCCACAAAGGATTCTAAAATACTTTGTCACTCTCGATGGCATTGTGCAGAAACAACAACTGGCGAATGCGGTCAATCAAGGACTACATGGCTGGCAGGCTGCCCGAGAGAGGCAGGCTGACACAGAGGCGGGCAGGCATTGTCCTTGATTTATGGTACTCATTAATTTCGCTGCCACCAGAGTTGACACTTCTGCGTATGTCCATGTGCTGCATCTTCGGTTCACTCCCCTCCTGGCTGACACACACTCACTGACATTTTGACAAATAATTTTATTGACGGTCTGTGTTTGCTTTTTAATTGTCCTCCAAGTTCAGTTCAGCTCAGCTGCCTCACCGTCGCACGTGATAATTGCTCATTTTATGACGCATTTATCAAAGTCTCTTGAGGCAACATGCTGTCTCTCCCTCCCTCCCTCTCTCTCTATCTCTCTCTCTCGCCTCTCTCTCTGCAATTACCCTTCTTGTCGTCTGAGCGAGTCGAGTCGCCGCCTCGTCCTGGCCTTGTCACGCGTCATTTATTTGCCTGTTTTGCCGTGACAGTTGTTGATTGCGATTTCCACGGGCGGCTGTGTCGATTTTGTGTCTCTCAAATTAGTTTGGGAAATATTAGGCAGAAATAGTAAAATGTGAACAAAAATAACAACGTATTTACGTGAAATGTTACAAAAATTGCAATCTTTTGCAACTACCAATAATAAATAATTAATAATTAAAATAATTAACTTAGAAATATTGTTTTATCCCATTGAAAATGGGTAAAGAGCGTATACTGTCTTTGTGAAATGTATGTAACAGGCAGAAGGTAGTATCTCTGAGCCCATAAATATCATTTATTCTTCAATATTCGGGTCGATCCCCCATGGTAATGGTAATTGCGCCAAACAAGTCTTTTTCATCGATATAAGACGATATCAAAATACTTTTTTGAACATTTTCAGGAGCTTACAAAAGCTAAAGGATATTTGCTTGAATACCTGCCCCGTTATACCGAAAATTCAAAGCTCCAAGCAAAGCTCAGCTATTAGATACCCTGTACAAATTGGACGGCTTATCTTTGCAACGTACAGTACGTTTAATTTAATTACATATGTATTAGCTATATTGCATTTATTATCGTATATATCATTGAATACAAAATGAATTCTAACGAAATTTGGATTTACCATTTGAAAATTGAGCAAAGCAAAAATCAATTGCGGCCCTATAGAATTTAGCATATTTTACAGCGGCTCTGGTCCTACGTCGGATACATAATTTAGTACATATGTGAGCTATAGCTCGGCAAGGCGTCCCAGCAACCAAACTTAGAAGAACAAACTTCCGAGCCATAACAACTGCGTGGTACTTGAAAAAAAAAAGAAAAAAACATAATATGGAAGGAACCCAAGGAACACATGAACCCGCAGCAAGGCGGCACTTCTGCCTCTGTTCTTGTGCGCTCCGTTGAAATGACAGGCTGACAGCAGAATTCACACTTCATTTGAGGCACCTCACGCCTCGCTCGCGTTCTCTCATCCCGATGCCAGACGCATTCAAGATCCCAGTCCAAACCGGCCGAGTGCTAATGTTGCGCATAATAATTTTGTACTAAATTAAATAGTGCGTGGGTCGGTCTGTCCGGGATGTCCGTCTGTCTGTCTGTCTGTCTGTCTGTCAGTCTGTCTCTGTGTCTGTCTGCTGCTGTGTCAGTTCCTGGACAACATGTTGCTGCCTCCTGCTCGGCGGCATTGTTGATTCGCTTCTCAAGCACGCCGCGTCGGCGACGTCGACTCAGCCACTTGAACGTGAAAGGATATAATTTAGTTTTTATTGCACGTTGTTAGGGTTTTTGCTGTTTTTGATGTGCGCTGCACGGGTTGCCCGAGTAGTTTGGATAGTATGGATAAGTACGCATGCGAGTAAATATAAATACGAGGAGGACTCATCAGTTATGCATGGCATGTTTGTTTTTTAAAGGGTCCTTTACGACTCTACTGAACCCGGCACTCTACTCTCCATTCTCCCGTTCCGTTGGCCAGTGCTCATTCGCTTTTTGTGTTAATTTATTGATGTGCCGCTTATCGTCACGTGGACGAAGAAGAACGTATTTGCCTTAGACCCAGGCACCGTTTAGAGCCGGCTCTCTTTGATGTTTCATAAATCACAGCTGAATTTTTAATACCTCGCACTGTCTGTCGGTCGATGTTTTTACAACTAACTAAATTAAATGGCTTTTGTAGACGCATCTCGCAGCTTTCAATTGGATAAATGGTTAGGTTGAGAAGAATAACTGCCTTTTTTTTGCTTGAAGCTATAAAATATATTATTTTTGCCATAATCATGAAAAATCTCCTTTTCACTGTTTATTTTATTCCTTCTGAAGATAATCCTGGGAAAGAGTCTACGCCTTGTCATGTATTTTCCAAATTTTAAAGAAACAATCTAATTTTAGCTTAACAATTGGCAATTGGCAACTATATTAAAGTTAAATTTGATACAGTTCATCAAGAGTTGCAGTCTTTATAATTAAAACATTTAAACAAATATATGGTTTGGATTGGCGGTTCTCCAAACAAGTGGTTCCTTTAAAGTTTCGTTCACAGTAATAATTAATTGTTGTTTGGGGTTTGATGAAGAACTTTATATTCAAACGGTCTTAAATATTTGCCGGCTTACAATTGATTCACGTGCTTGACTTAATGCGAACATTAAAGGAAACTCTAAAAAATTGTTGTGCTTCTGGTATGAATTTGAAAAACTGACAGTCGACCTAAAGGCCATCACTTGAGAACTCGTGCCTGTGACTGGAAACTTTGCTGACTTCTGACTACCTAGAACTCAATTTAGTTTTCTGCAACAACAAGAAGAACGGCAAGAACGGCTGGAACAACACTGGAGGACACTTGAATGCAGCTCCAATTATAGAAAAACTGCCGGCAGCTCAGCTCAGCGATTCATAATGAAAACATTTAACCTGTCGTCAGCAACATCAGCACGAAAATCATTCCAGCATCATCATCACCATCAGCATATACGGGCAGCATCCATCCCCCTGGCCCAACGTTGGGCGGCACTCATAATCAACTTTAAATGTCAGGCAACGTCGAGAGCAATTTTGTGGTACCTTCTTCTCGTTTTCAATTATATGGCAGCGCTATGATCCTTCGAGGAAGTGGTTAGAGAGTCGACAACCAGCAAGCAGTAACCACTTGAGCAAAACAATTCAACAAAAACTTGAATTGACAGCCGCATCCCCAGTCGCAGACCCAGTCCCGGCCAGAGCTCGAAGTTTGAGTTGAGCTGAGTGTTTAATACACCTTTTCTTTTACGATGTGGTCGTGGTCGTGGTCGTGGACGCGGTCTTGGATCTGGACCCAGGCGCAGGCTCCTTGTTGTCATTAATGAGACGTCTTCTTCAGGCCGCGCAGTCATTTCCACTTCAAGTTGTCAAGCTATACAGCCCCTCGTCATATTTTAAATTTGTGGCAGCTTGTGTTTTCGACATTTCGGGCATTATGTCGCGCCTATTTTTCACCATTTGCTCACGCCGGGTTAAATGAACGACGTCGCTGTCGCCGTGGTCGTCTCCTCTCCTCTCCGCCGCCGCTGTCTCTTTGATCTCACGCTTCGCTTCTAATTTGATTATAAACGCACACCTCACACTCAAGACTACCGCGTCGCCGTCTTTCTCTTCTACGCGTCTTCATTTTCAGCCTGAATGGTTGGCAGCACTTCCACTCCATTCCACTTTACTCCACTCCACTCCACTCCACTCTACTTTACTTTACTCCACTCTACTCTACTCTACTCTAGTATATTCGATTCCCTTCTACGGGCTGATGACTACGCGCCGCGGCACACTCAATGACGCGTTGAAATTGCCATAAAAAAGGACATGAAGACATTGAGAGATAGAGAGAACGGGAGAGAGCCCCGTGAGTCTTGGCCCAGGGTTACGTGCTGACAGCATTTTAAATGAAATGAAAACGATGCTTTCACTTTACTCCAGCAAGAAGCGACCTTTGGAACGGGGCGTCATTTTGCTAAACTAAGCAGAAGTAATGTCACTGAACTACATGAACAGGTTTTAAGGGCAGCGTTTTGTGGACCGTATAAGTCTGTGAGGTGAGGCTAATGTGATAACTTGCTTAGGGGACTATTGATTCTGGCAATTGTCCTTAGACTAGACTTTGATAAACAGTTAAGAAGTTTATATATTCAAGCGCTTGTCATGACTGACCAACTGATTGGTCATTAACCCACAGCCCAGGCCAGAAGTGTTAAATGTAGTTATCATATGTGATAAAGGTGCACGCTCTGTCCGATTGGGCTCCAACTCAATTTCATTGAGCTTTGTTCAAATTTATTTTAGAGATGTTTTACACCTTTCGGAAAAACAACTCTATCTTGGTGTAAATTGGTGTCAAGGATTCGGTGGGTGAAGTTGCTGGTTCAAATGCATATTTTACATCTGGACTGGAACATATCTTATGGTTTAATAGACTTTGTAAACAGAATAGTTAGAAACACAGCAGCCGACACTAGAGTAGACATTGGCTTGGTCTCATTTTTCTCACACTTCTTCATAACCCTAAAATATCACTGGTTAATTAGCAATTCCATTTTAGGGAGCGAATGTAACACATTTGAAAAGGGAGACCCCGTCTGTCACAATTTGTTGGAAAAGGGGTAATTTTCGCTCTCGGCGAAGGAGACTAGCACAATCGCCACAAGAAACTTTTGAAAGTCTCGAATTACGTACAAATTTCGAATATTTGGCTGTTTTGTGTGTAATCAGTCAATTTCAAATAAAAAACACAGAAAAGGGTCGGACTTCCTGTTATCGTTGCGCCCAGTTGAAAAATAATGCGCCCTACAGCTAAATGTCGTTCTGTGTTCTTACACACACAGCTTGTTTTCCGCATGGCAACCCTGAGTCACAGGTTAACAAAAATTTGGTAATTGCATATTCTTAGTTTTCATTTAAGATTAAACGCTTTTCACTTTATCAATATAAATATAAATACCAACAGAATTGATGCCGTAAATACATTTCTAGTAGAAACAAGGCAGATTTTCTCATGTGCTTGGTTTTTCGACAATATATTAGCTATAGCTATAGTTAAACATATGTGATCAGTTTCGCATTGCTTAGCTTAATAAGTTTATTAAATAGTTAGTCCTGGTTGACTTACTAAACACAAATTCATTGAAAGCAATCCACAACCGGAAAATGGAAGAACCTTATTAAAAGGTAAAATACAAAAAAAAAAGTCCAGGCAATGCAAGCTAATAGTATGTAATATAATGTTGAAAAGTCTTACTAAAAATAAATGGAACGCTTAATAAATTGATGGGCTCCGATTACTAATTTCAAAATCAGTTTTTTTTTTTTTTTTTTGTCTAAATAAACACGATTCATAGCCGGCCATATGGCTGGGGCATATAACAAATAGATAAGCTGTCTGCGTTTGCTTGGCTTCTGAACCATAAATTTCTCTTTAACCAGTTAGGAAAAATATCATAAAATACAAAATGAAGAACGCACGACATGTCTCGGACGCTGTGAAATTTATGTGACAATTTTGTGCAGAATAAATGGCCGGACACACGGAAGTAGAACCAGAACCAAAACCAGAACCAGAACCAGGATCACCACGAAGAAGGACGTTGTTTTTGTGAGTGTCCGAACATTGTTTGCTCTCTTCTTTTTGTTTCCTAAAAATTAGTTCGGTTAAAAGGCACGCACACGGTCCAAAAAGTAGTGTCTGAGAGCCGGTCCGGTGATGGCCATCCACTCCGCAATGCCCACAAAGTGGGTGCCCACTAAAACTAACAAACTAACCTGCATACGGAATAGATGGGTTGGGCAGGGGGGCGGTTCGGCGTGTGGCTTGGGGCAACTTCAGCACTTGGTCGTTGTCGGTCATGTTGCATAAATCTCATTTGGGCTTTATTTACTCTCAAAATGTTCCCGTTCAGATTGCTATTGTCGTTGTTGTTGTTGGGGCTACTCTGGCAAATAAATTCATTTAGTGGCATTTAGTGCCCCCGTTCACCTTATTGTTCGGGGTCGTCGCAAGCGTC